TGGTACAGTGCCTGGCACATACTAAGTACTTTTAAAAAATTATGTGGGTACAATGAATAAATTGTTGAGTTAATGAAAGAGAAGAACGTGATGAGGTTTGTGTTTTAGAAGGATCAGTTTGGCAGCTGTAGAGGATGGAATAGAGAGGGGGATGTGGATACAGTGAGATTACCAACAATTTAGCCAAGGCTGCCCCCTGAATCTCTTAACCCATCCGTGCTCTCACTCACCTTTCCAAAGTGATCTTTTTTTTTTTTTTAAGATTTTATTTATTTAACAGACAGATCACAAGTAGGCAGAGAGGCAGGCAGAGGCGGGGAGGGGGGTGGTGATGGGGAGGAAGCAGGCTCCCTGCTGAGCAGAGAGCCCGATGTGGGGCTCAATCCCAGGACTCTGAGATCATGACCTGAGCCAAAGGCAGAGGCTTTAATCCACTGAGCCACCCAAATTGATCTTTTTTTTTTTTTTAAGATTTTATTTATTTATTGGACAGACAGAGATCACAAGTAGGCAGAGAAGCAGGCAGAGAGAGAGGAGGAAGCCGGCTCCCTGCTGAGCAGAGAGCCCGATGTGGGGCTCAATCCCAGGACCCTGGGATCATGACCTGAGCCGAAGGCAAAGGCTTTAACCCACTGAGCCACCCAGGTGCCCCCCAAATTGATCTTTTAAAAACATGTCAGACATACCCTTTCCCTGCTTACGGCTGCTCAGTGTGAAATGCAAACCCTTCACAAGGCCTAGGGTGGGGTGTTCCCATTCACTCCTCTGGTTTCTGGTATACTCTGTGACCTTCTCACTTTGCTTCAACCACACTGACTGCCTTTCTTTTCCTGGAACATGCCAATAGGTGGCCTTTGCACTGCTATTCCCTCTGCCTGGAACATTCATCCTCCAACTTTTCGCCTAATAAATTCCTCTTTGCCTTTCAGGTTTCAGTTTATTTATTTTTTTGAATAAATAATACATGTACTTGGAACAGGTTTTAATGATACAAAAGAGTATAAAATAAGCAGTGAGTCGTCTTCTCCTCCTGCCTTCTAGCCACTTTCCCTCCCTGGGGATAACCACTACTTTCCTCTGAATTCTGGTCTCAATTCCCATGTCGTTTTTTTCCAGAGAAGGCCTTCTCTGATACTCCAGTTGAAAATAGATCCACCAGTCTTATTGTTATAGTTCTCTGTGCTTTTTTTTTTCATTCATCACAATTGGTAATTTTATATTTATTTTGTGATTGTTCCGTTAGTTTTCTCCTCCCACTAGACTGTCAGTTCTGTGCTGCATAGTTGGAACCTGAAGGCTCAAAGGATCCAAGGTCTTAGATTCAGGAAGACAGAATTGGGATAGCAGCCAAGAAGATACCTCAGCTGGGTTCAGTGCTCTTTTGTAACCTCTGCCAAAAATACCTTCTTCTTCCTTGCATGGTAAACTCTTACTCCTCTTGCAAGAATTCATCTGTTACCTCTTCTGAACCTACTCCCCTTACCCTTCCCTACACCCTCCACCTCCCCACACCAAGGCAGGTTCATTGTTCCTTCCTCCAGGCATTCACTACCTTGCTTTCATCTCTATTAAAGGAATTTGTGCACCGTAAGGTAATTCTGTGCTTTCCTACCATCCTTCCCTAGTACACATTGAGTCTCTCCGGGGAAAGTGGCATATTCTAGTCATCTTTGTCCCAGTGTCTGTACAGTTGTTGGCATGTAGTAAATGTAGGCTAATGCATATCATGGAAAGGACCCATGATGTCCAGGTTTGTCTCGATGAAATAGTGTGGATTATAAATGCCGGATTGACTCTGATGCCACAATTGCTTTTGATGAAACAATGTGAATTATAAAGGCAGGATTGGCTCTGAAGCCAATCTCTGACTGCTCTGGCATAGAGCAGACCTGGTTGGAAGCCCATTTTATTTTATTTTTTTAAAGACTTTATTTATTTATTTGACAGAGATCACAAGTAGGCAGAGAGGCAGGGAAGCAGGCTCCCTGCTGAGCAGAGAGCCCAACGTGGGGCTTGATTGCAGGACCATGGGATCGTGACCTGAGCCGAAGGCAGAGGCTTTAACACACTGAGCCACCCAGGTGCCCCTGGAAGCCCATTTTAGAAAGAGAAGCCTAAGAAATATTTCACTTCTCCACACTACTTGCTGTTTAGCCTCCCCATAGAATGGTGGCTCTGGGAAGATGATGGCAGGACCATAGGAGCTGGAACGAAAGGGATCAGAACCTAGGACTAATACTTCTCCAGAAGGTAGAGAATGAGCAAGAGAGATAGAAGAACTGTGTGGGGCTGGTTCCAGTGGGAGGACAGAGATGAGGAACTGAAATCTAAGCTAGGAAAATACATATCTAGCTAGATTTTATATTCCAGAAATTCAGATGTCATGAGAATTCCACCTGTGTGCATAGGCCATTCAGCTGGGTAGATCTGGGTTTAAATTGCAGTTCTGCCTTTTACTTGCTGGATGACCTTGGCCATTTGACCATATTTTTTGAGCTACGGTTTCCTTTTCTTTTTTTAAAAGATTTTATTTATTTAGGGCTCCTGGGTGGCTCAGTGGGTTAAGCCTCTGCCTTCGGCTCAGATCATGATCCCAGGGTGCTGGGATCGAGGCCCGCATCGGGCTCTCTGCTCAGCGGGGAGCCTGCTTCCTCCTCTCTCTCTGCCTGCCTCTCTGCCTACTTGTGATCTCTCTCTCTGTCCAATAAATAAATAAAATCTTAAAAAAAAAGATTTTATTTATTTATTTGACAGAGACACAGTGAGAGAGGGAACACAAGCAGGGGGAGTGGGAGAGGGAGAAGCAGGCTTCCCTCTGAGCAGGGAGCCTGATGCCGGGCTCGATCCCAGGACCGTGGGATCATGACCTGAGCCGAAGGCAGACACTTAAAGACTGAGCCACCCAGGCGCCCCTTCTTTTTTTTGTTTAAATTAAGTTTTTTTTTTTTTTCTAAAGATTTTATTTATTTATTTGACAGACAGAGATCACAAGCAGGCAGAGAGGCAGGCAGAGAGAGAGGAGGAAGCAGGCTCCCTGCTAAGCAGAGAGCCCGATGCGGGGCTCGATCCCAGGACCCCGAGATCACGACCCGAGCCGAAGGCAGCGGCTTAACCCACA